CCCATCACCACCCCTTCACCACACCCCCATCACCACCCCTTCACCACACCCCCATCACACTACCCTTCACCCCCCGTACCCAGGGCGCGGGTAGGCGCCGTAGCACAGGCGCCCTGCAGCCACTCGTGGGCCAGCGCCTCGTCAGGCGTCAGGCGCGCCGACGGCTCCCATCTGACGCCAGGGACACGCTTATTATTATTTCTAATTATTAAACAACTACCATTAATATATAATGTCACTAATAATTAAATAAGTCTCAAAAGTCAATTATTATTTATTTCAATTATTCTCTTCTTACTTTCACTAAAAATTAAAATTTCATATGAGGTAATTTCTCAGCACTTAGTTCTACTTTTGATAGTTTTGATGGTGTATTATTATCATATGGCTGCTGATTCATTTGTTTATTTTATGATTATCTGAGTAACTTAGTTTAACTAGTTATTATGAAGTTATCAAGACAATGGTAAAATAGCGGGACATAACTAAGGTTATATGAATAAAAACAAAACTTGAATATGACTGACAGGAGGGAAGTAGTCTCACTCAAGACATTAAATGTAAAACAAAACTTGAATATGACTGGCAGACGGGAAGAAGTCTCACTCAAGACATTAAATATAAAACAGAACTCTAATAAGACTGGCAGGCGGAAAGTAGTCTCGCTCAAGACATTAAGTATAAAGCAAAATTCTAATAAGACTGGCAGACGGGAAGTAGTCTCACTCAAGACAGCGCGCGATGAAGTTCACGAAGACAGGATCAGAACATTTAAGGACTGACGCCAGGTCTTTGGATCCTGGCCTCCGCTTCTTGGCCTTACTGTTGGTGATGCAGCGCGGGTTGCCCTTAGAGTCTGTAAAGTATCAGTATTATAATAATTATTGCCTTCGCATCCAGCATCAGTATTATAATAATTATTGCCTTCGCATCCAGCATCAGTATTATAATAATTATTGCCTTCGCATCAAACTAATTAAGAAATTCGGGTTTTAGTTGCCCAGCTGTTACCTAACGAATCATTCATTCAATTGCTTCAGTGGAGTATCAAGACGCATGCTTCAATCGTCGAGCTATTTGTTAAAAATCCTTTATTCGCGCACCATAGAATGTATAATAAAATTGTTTTTACATTGCGCGTCATGACCGCTCCACTTCATCAAACTTCCCAAGAGAATCTTAGTGTGCAGCTTCGTGGCAGTGAAGAATTAGATATTATTAGTAAATACAACAGTGGAAGATGATATTCAGAAATTTATAAGAAACCACCAACGGCAAAGTAGGTATGAAGACAAAAGTAGTAAAGTAAAGACGTTATTTCGCTGAATATTTCTTGTTTCCTCTCCTCAAACAAAGACTTTGCAAAGTTGCCTGGCCTAAAGCAACAAAGAATTCATTCATCATCTTTAGGAAAAATTAATGGTAAAGAAAATGTTCTGTGAGAATTATTCAAAATTAATTAGCTACCTCAATACTTACAACAGGGTCGCTCACTTGGAGTAGCGCCCGGAACACTCAATTTGAGGGGGCGTTATGACCATTCACTTGTACTGGCCCAAGGACCACTCACATAGCGTGGCGCCAGAACCATTCACATTTGGTGGCCTCAGGACCACCCACATAGAGTGGTTTCAGGACCACTCACATAGAGCGGCTCTAGGGCAGCTCACGAGTGGTGCCACTCACCAAAGAAGAGTCGTCGTCTGGAGGCGTTAAGCAGGAGCGCCTGGGGCGGCGGCCCCAGCACCTCCATGATGCAGGCGAGCTGCTCCACTTCGTTCTCTCCAGGGAACAGCGGGTATCCTGTGTACAGCTCCGCCAGGATACAACCTGCACGGATATGTTGTTACTGACCGAACCTTCATACTATGCATTCAGCTGTCATTGAGGAACAACCTTGTAAGAATCGATAAATGTGTCCTATGCGAGTGACATAGGACACTAGGTTCGTAGGTCGAAGAAAAATGAAAAGGGACATTAAGGAAAGATTGATTATATATTCTTGTTAGCATTAGCCATTTGCTAAATGCGCCTAGTCTGAAGGATACATTTTTAATACAAAAATGCAATTTTATAGATTCAACATCCATCAAAATACCGTGAGCAGTCACATTAGCTAGAGACGTCAATAGACAGACCATGTGGAAGACCAAGTACTAGCTTTCACCTAGACTCCAGACGTCAATAGGCAGACCATATGGAGGACCAGGTACTAGCTCTCACCTAGACTCCAGACGTCAATAGGCAGACCATTAGGAAGACCAGGACTAGCTCTCACCTAGACTCCAGACGTCAATGGGCAGACCATTAGGAAGACCAGGACTAGCTCTCACCTAGACTCCAGACGTCAATGGGCAGGCCATAAGGAAGACCAAGTACAAGCTCTCACCTAGACTCCAGACGTCGATAGGCAGACCATAAGGAAGACCAAGTATAACTTCAGGCGAGCGGTAGAAGCGGCTCTGTATGTATGTGTAGACGCGCTGTTGGACGTAGCAGGATGACCCGAAGTCTATCACTTTAATGGAGCTGCTGCCTCGCTGCTTCAGAAGCACGTTCTCCTGTCGGCAGCGACAACGTCAAGACTTCGTATTTTTCTGGTTTTACATCAACGTTTCTACGAGCTGCCCAAATGGAGCTGACAGAAACAGATATGAGGAATGCTCAAATGCTCCAAACAACTGCATGTTTTTTTTATTGATGATAGATTGAATAATCCGCCAGTGCCGGGCGGTGAATTGAGATAGTTTTAGGTTATAATAACTTTTCTGCCATGTGAGTTTTCCTCTAGATAATTTTTCGTACAGACGTCCTCTTTTTTATGAATGCCAATAAAGACCCTAAACTATTTCACAACCGAGGTCTTCAAAATCACATTTATTTCTTCATAAACTGCGCCCGGAAATGCTCAAAATGGCCAATACTTATAGGTAAAATTTGCTCGGGCTGAGTTTAAGCTTGCCTTATACTCCGCGGACATTGGCAGTTCCTTCAACATATCAAACAGAAAACGCACAACAAACAAACGCACACTGGATAATAAGTAACTGCAGCGCTGCCGGTGCTATAGGGGCATATGATCTTGGGGTTTGTTTGGCGATGAATAATACAAGGTAGCAGTTTCTGGACGTGCGACACGCGAATACCGGTCTGGGATGTACGGATTATTGCTACGATTTGTGCTGGTCTGGGCTATACGGCTGTTATTGCTACGATGTGAATGAGCAAGGCTTTGCAGTCCATGAATGAGTAAAGATCAATCAGATATTTTCTAAACAGCAACCGGACTACACGAGTGAATGCAATGCAATCAGTGAATTTTTCGTCCAATAGAAGTACTGCCGAGGAGGAGAATTTATGATGCATCCATTTTATAGCATGAAGAAATACATTGAATATCTGCTTGATGATAGCGTGCAAACGCGCGATAGATTTTGAAAAGTAATCAAATAAGACGATATGAATTGGATTTATCAAATATAGTGCAGTTGTAAGAGAAAATTGCAAACATTTTTAAGATTAGTTCCAATGGAGAGTTAAAAGTTTTAAGTGAATGTCATTTCCTGCTAATGAGTTAAATGTAATTAATTAAAAATATACTGATTAACGTAGTTGCTGCGCATTGAAATTGAGAAGAAATGACTAACGCTCATTCAAAGTACAGAAAAAATGATTTATTTGCGCTAAGCTCATTAGGTGCGCGGGAACGAAGTTGAACCGAGAAAATAAATTCCGCTGAAAGACGCAGTATCCCTGCAGTCAAGCTCACCACAACTGCCGCTATGATGACTAAACTCCATAGTGTGATGTGATTATGTCTAGTGTGATGTGGTTATGTCTAGTGTGTTGTGGTTATGTCTAGTGTGATGTGATTATGTCTAGTGTGATGTGGTTATGTCTGGTGTGATGTGATTATGCCTAGTGTGATGTGGTTATGTCTAGTGTGATGTGGTTATGTCTAGTGTGTGTCTAGTGTGATGTGATTATGTCTAGTGTGATGTGATTATGTCTAGTGTGTCGTGATTATGTCTAGTGTGGTGTGATTATGTCTAGTGTGTCGTGATTATGTCTAGTGTGGTGTGAATATGTCTAGTGTGATGTGCATATGTCTACTGTATTGTGACTATGTCTAGTGTGATGTGGTTATGCCTCGTGTGATATTATTTTGTCTAGTGCGATGTGAATATGTCTAGTGCGATGTGAATATGTCTAGTGTGATGTGATTATGTCTAGTGTAATGTGATTATGTCCAGTGTGATGTGATTATGTCCAGTGTGATGCGATTATGTCTATTTTGATGCATCATGTCTTGAAAAGTGAACATTATTTGACATTTGCTTGGTGAAGGAAAAATCTCGATCAATACAGAATACAGTAAAACATGTATATTTTGCGCAGGAAAAAGTTAATCATAGCAAAAAAGTTGCGTTGGACTCACTTCTTTTAAATTTTAATTCCAACACGCGCCATTAGATGAAGGCGAAGGAGTATGCATAGCACCAGATCATCAGATCATGCAAAGGAAATGCTTATCTGTGTTTCTAGTGCAATGTTCCAATGTTCATATATCAATCTGACTGCGTTGTAACTCAGGCGCATTCATTGCGAGCGTTCAACAGCACACATCCTAATCATATATATAATCAAGAAAATTCGTAAATTATACAATAAAACAAATAATAAAACACATACACAAAATAATATAGATTTGAAATAGGTAGTATGTGATTGACAAGGTCATGAAAACTAAACGATAAATAAACGCAATCATGCAATGATAAAAATTGTTAGTACGCAATCCTATGCAGCGACGCAATCCTGGAAACTGCAATGCTTACATCAATATTCCACTTGAACTTGGCTCAACGCCCTCGGCAAAAAGAATATTTCAGAGCACGGCCACTCGATGTCACGTCGGCCTCTCACGACCTGATTCACTAGCAGCGTAGTAGAGGGTGATCGCAAAACTGAATTTAAACTCTGAGCCAATGTATGTGTTCGAAATTTGATCGATTTATGATGCAACCGGCGCCATAAAATTATAGGCACGTTAGACGTAAGGATGGAAATGTGCCTTGAACGAGAGTAAAACTTTTTCGATTCATGCACAAGGCGCTACATGGAGCCAGTTAACCAGTTTCAGGGAAATATCCTGATTAAAATTCCAGGACTCACAGATACATTTTGTAAACACACATTTCAGTGGATTATTCAAAACACTATTTAGACACTGAATTATAATGTTTTGAATCTCAAGACGAAATTTAGTTTTGCAAACGGCAAAGAAGCAACAAATGAAGACAACTAAGATTGCGCTAGCCACGCACGTGTCATGAATAAAAATATACATATAATTTCACACTTCCCACTTGCTCTGCGTGGAAAATGGCAATTTAAAAAAATGTTTATAAACCTGTATTTTTATTCATCATAAAGCTAGCGTATACAATTGAAAATAAATAAGATGAGTTTATTTTTTTATGATATTTTTGGCCGCTTTGATTCATGATAACGCGTGATGTATAATGAACGCATACTAGTTCATAGAATTCCTTGTAATGCGATTTTCATTATAAATCGGATGCTTAGCGCTGATTAGGTGTAAGGGTTGCAATTCTGAAGCCCCCGTCGGAAAAAATGAATATACATTTTTCAGGTAGAATTTTCAGAATATAATAAAAATTCTATCGGTAAATCAAAGGCAGTCCAGAAATGCAATGTATACGTTTGAAGGTATAAATACGAATAACAACATGACCTGAATCAGGAATTCAAAATCAATATATTTTACACTATATATATATTTCAATAATATATTTCAATAAATATTTTCAAAATATATTTTTTTTGTCAGTCTCTCACTAGATTAAATAGAGAATGATTCCACTCGGATGGAAATGCCTGATCAAACATAACCAAGAAAAAGATCTTGGACACAACATCGACTGAAGTGGCAGCGCAAACAAAAAATTCAGTGAAAGCAACGACTGGTGACAGAATGCTTGCTGAGTGGATGATAGCTCGATACGAAGTGCTCGGTGAAGCAGTCAAAGTCCGCAGCAAACAGAAATATCAATAAGATAACAGTTTCACCTTCACTATTGTTCAGAGAGTAGGAAATAAATTTGTTGCTTTTATTACGTAATTAAAGTTATATATATGGCACAGCGAGCTTATAGTCGTTTGCCTAAATTGAACAAAAAATATTGTTTTAAGAAAGCGCCCTCTACAGACGAAAACTTGAGATGGTGCAAACTAAAATAAAAATAAACCCTTTCAAAGCCATGGACATTACTGTCACATGCCCGAAGGTATTCCTGTCGTGTTATTCGCGATCGCGTCCAGTAAATATTCCTAAGGGCTGAATATTTTTCAGCCTCGTCACATTCATCAACTTCGACGAGGAACGGAATTCTTGAGAGGAACGACGGAGGATTTACCAGCATGGACGGTAAACATGTATTGATATAGGCTCTGACGTGCGTAGGAAACGGCTTCCTTAAGAGGCAACACGTTTGCTCTGGACTTTTTAGAAGTCTAACATTTTTATATTAATTTGAAAAGCGGAGATATTTGGAAGTGCAGATGAGATGGGAAAAGAGGAACAGGGTCTAAATTCTGATGTTGAAAATGAACAACGTTTGATTAAAACACGGCTTTGGAGGGAAATTAAAAAAGGCTCTTGAAATCAACAAAAAGAAATAGGTTTTCAAACCTTCATGTGAATGGACACGTAGCGCGAATGGAGACGCAGTAACTACATGATTCTCCATAACTATTTTATGTGAGTCTTAATGCTGCAAGTCAATCTGCTGCCCTCAAAATACGAAAAAAATGTCGCGCCACAATATTTCTGCCACGCTGAAGGCATGGAAACTTTCATGCGGGCACTTTGCAGAAAAATTGTGCAAATTTATCGAAATGGAAATTCAAAAGGCACGGTTCAATGGCAGCAGCAAATTTTAACAATAAAAAGTAATTCTCAAACAAGCTATTTCTTAAATTTCCTGTTAATCTAATCGAATCTTGCAACATAATCTTCTTAAAGTTCAAAAGCATCTTTAATTCCAAAATAAACCTGAAGTCTCTCAACCTATAACTTTAAGTCTACGACTGCTGAAGGCTTAAAGACAGCGAAATCATTTCGATCGGACTTCCCGGAGCAGCAATTTCCTCAGCCGAATAACTCGGACAGAAACATGTCCAAGTTTCTCTGGCAGGCGAGTGCGCGCAAGACCTGAAGTTGTCGTACCCAGAGGAGTCCAGTCAACGAGATCACTGGACATTTCTTTCTGTATTTTCAGGCAAATTCCTCGACTGTGCCAAATTTAGGGAATATTTCATCGAGCTAGAAGACAATGAACTCTTTTGAAAATTGTGAGATGTTATAGGCCTGCAAGAATTTGATTTACCAATGACCTGACTGCATCTAAAAAGCTTCAAATCAGATGCAGAAAATGACGAAACTTTATATCGTGACACGATAGCCGCAGTTTCTTCGTGCGCCAGGAATAAACATGCAGGATTTATTACCCGAAATATGAGCTTCAGCAACGGTTGAAAGTGAGAGCACACTTTCCTCAATGTCCATTGCAGGACATATATGTTCTAATATTTAGGCATAATTTGGGTTCTTTCAGCGTTAGATACACTTCGCTCAGAGGATTGTGTTGCACAGGAACATCAACATGAGCGCTAAACAAACAATATTCAAAAGTTTGAATCACAAGTACAACCCAGCACCACGAACCTCACACACATCACCACCCAGCACCACGCACCCCACCCAGCACCACGCACCCCACCCAGCACCACGCACCCCACACACATCACCACCCCGCACCACGCACCACGCACCGCGCACCCCACAAACAGCACCATACACATCACCACCAGCACCCTGCACGCCACACACATCACCACCCAGCACCACGCACCTCCAGCACCCCGCACGCCACACACATCACCACCCAGCACCCCGCACGCCACACACATCACCACCCAGCACCACGCACCTCACACATATCACCACCAGGACCACGCACCTCACACACATCACCACCAGCACCCCGCACGCCACACACATCACCACCATGCAGCAGCCCGCACGCCATACACATCACCACGCAACACCACGCACATCACTCACAGGTTTAAGGTCGCAGTGGATGATGTTCTCGCGGTGCAGGAGCAAGAGGCACTCGGCCAGGGAGGTGGCAAAGCGTCGGATGAGTGGCAGAGTGAAGCCCTGGTAGTTGTTCTTCTTGATCAACTCGTACAGGTTCAGTCTGCAGCATAAAGACGATGATCAGAACTATAGCAGGACATTAAATTTTTAATCAGAACAAGATTAAGAGTGAGAGTCTTTGTTCTTGCTGCCTGTTTGGGAGCTTATTTACGGGGGAGAAAATATTTCTATTAGCCTATCTCGCTGTCCCCACGGGAAGCTCCTAATTATTCCATGAGCTCGAAGGTAATGCAGAGGTGGTTCCTGAAGTACCACTCACCCCATGAGCTCGAAGGTAATGCAGAGGTGGTTCCTGAAGTACCACTCACCCCATGAGCTCGAAGGTAATGCAGAGGTGGTTCCTGAAGTAGAAATAGTCGAGCATGTGGATGACGTTGTGGGTTTTGTCGCTGTCGCGTCTACGGAGATGGTCCAAAATTTTCACTTCAATGAGCGCCTGGTGGTGGAACCGCTTCTTGTTTCTGCGAGAAATTAAGAGAAATTAAGAGGCGGGGGAATTTGGTAATGAAAAGGAGTTTTTTATTAAATAACAAAGTAAACTACATAGCAATAACTATAACCTGTAAGGAAACAAGATTATTGAATAATTTTTGCCGCAATTAAATTTCAGGAAGGAAATGATCTTAGCCAAATAACATAAGGCCGTATAATCACCTGATAATCTAAGCAAAATATCATCAAATCAAACCATCACCTGATGATCTGAGCCAAATATCATCAGACCATATAATCACCTGATGATCTTGATGGCGACCTGATCACCTGTCTTGTGATCTATCGCCCTGATCACCTGCCCGAATGATCCCTTGCCAATCACCTCGAGGATCTCGTAGCGGTAGCCGATGTGGTCGTGCATTACCTGCGCCGACCATTAAATAATGAATTAAGTATAACTTTCATCGCTACATTCTCTAGTATCTCCATTTTGTTAATTATACTGAATAATTAAATATATTTATTCTTTATGATGTATAGTTTACATATAATAATTGTAATCAAAAGCCTTGTTATGGCTGCCGGACCCAGCACCAAAAAGCAGCACCAGGCAACACTAATAACCAGCCAAAATCACCAATCACCTCCTACTGCCAAGAATCAGCTTGTTGTAGTAGCAGTAGCAACATCAACTAGTCACCCTCCATCACCTTGTTGCAGCTGCCGTACTCATCACACTATCACCCCCTCATCACTCCATCAACACTCATCTCCCCATCATTTTTCACCACCGCATCACCCACATCACCCCACATCACCCACATCACCCCACATCACCGCCATCACACCCCCCATCATCACCTTGTTGTAGCTGCCGTTGTCGTCATCGTACCCTGCGTTGAGCTGGCCGCCCTCCTCGCCGTGTATCTTGCGCGCCTCGAGGCCGAGGAACCACACCTCGGGGTACGCCTCGATCTCCCGCCGCTCGAACTCCGTCAGCCGCTCGCCTGAGATGCGCAGCGCCTCTGCGGGGAACAGGTAGAATGCTTAGGGTGGGACGGGGGACAGGGCGGGTGCTTAGGGCAGCACGGGGGACAGGGCGGGTGCTTAGGGCAGCACGGGGGACAGAGCGGGTGCTTAGGGCGCCACGGGGGACAGGTCGGGTGCTTAGGGCGCCACGGGGGACAGGTCGGGTGCTTAGGGCGCCACGGGGGACAGGGCGGGTGCTTAGGGCGGCACGGGGGACAGGTCGGGTGCTTAGGGCGCCACGGAGGACAGGGCGGGTGCTTAGGGCGGCACGGGGGACAGGTCGGGTGCTTAGGGCGCCACGGGGGACAGGTCGGGCGCTTAGGGCGCCACGGGGGACAGGGCGGGTGCTTAGGGCGCCACGGGGGACAGGGCGGGTGCTTAGGGCAGCGCGGGGGACAGGGCGGCTTAGGAATGCCTCATTATTATACATATTATCTATTCAACGTAGCTGCAACGAGTTGCGTTTCTATATATGTATTCGTTATTTATTCCAAGTAAGAACGGCTTGTTGATCCGTGCATAAGCTCACGCAATGACGTTGTAACTAACAATCATGCCTTGAATTTGCTTATTTTTAATAACTACAAAAAATTTAACCCCCACCTGAAGGAGCAATGGGGGTCCTGATTCCCCCACTAAGTCTGCCGTTGATCTCAGTTCCCCCGTTAGGGGAGGCCCGGCCTCGGGTCTGGTCCCGGTCTTTGCTGAGTGACCCGTGTCTGCTGGAGGAGGAAGCGTGGCCCGCACGGCGGGACCGCGGGGACCCCTCGCTGCTGGGGGGGACGTGGTTGTTGTTGGTGGTGGAGGGGGGGTCGCGTTGGTGCAGGAATGGGAGAGTCCCCACGCCTCCCGCACTGGTCTGGCCTGAGGAGATATTGTAAACGATAGAAAATATTGTTATTTATGTATCGGAGTATTGATTGTATAACTTGTTTAGAGTCCGGTTTTTAAATTGTCATTATAGTTTAGAGTTTACGGAAGGCTAAGTACGGGGAGGCGAGAAACTAATAGTCAGATATTATTGAGACTTTGCATGGTGGGCTAGAAGGACCGTTATCATCAGGCAATTTTGTATGATGGGCTCGGGGATCGTTTTTATGAAGCGATTTTAAAAGAGCGGCTACAAGGATGGTTGTTATAAGGACATTTTGCATGATGGGCCTCTGGGACAACGCTAGGGCCACTCACCCGGTCTGTCACCCACGGCGCTGCCCGCCAGACGGGACGCTGGTCCGCCGGTCCCGGCGTCGTCGGTCCCACCGCTCGGACTCCCGAAAGTGTCCCCGCTACGCTGTCCCGAAACTCCCGGTACCAAAAATTGTTGTTGTTGTTGTGGTGTTGGTTGTTGTTGTATATGTTGTTGCTGTTGGTGTGAATGAGAAGAGCGAGAGATTGTGTTGTTGTTGTTGACTCTGTTGTTGCCGTTGCTATTTGCGGAAGAATTGTTGATAAAATTGTGATGTTGCTGGTGGTGGTGAGGGTGTGGTTGTTGATGGTGGAGATGAGCTCCGTTGGCATGGTGGTGGTGGTGGTGAGGGTTGGTGATGTTGAGGGCGGGGTTATTGTTGCTGGTGAGCACCGGTAGTTTCTGTGAAGAAAATTATTAATTATTATTATTAATTAATTTTAGTTACCGTAATAATTCCATGAGCAATGCATATTTCTGTTATTTATTGTACGTAGAAGCTGCATACAAAATTTAGTATTTTAAGACATATAAACAAATAAGTTGATTCAAATGTAAAAAAAAGTTTTAAAGAAAAGCACATTGTGTTCTTCAGTTACTATAATTTAAATAGGTAGGAATAACGTAAGGGTTTATAGACAACTTTACACGCTTGTAGCCGCACAAAGCTACACAGGACAACCACAACGATAAATAATTTATGATATTTAAGCGGTTATCATCAAACCAATCTTCCTGGTTGACTGGTTGGGCTGACTTACCTCTACCCCCCTCATCAGCCTACACCCCCTCACCTCTTCCCCCTCACCAGCCTACACCCCCTCACCTCTTCCCCCTCATCAGCCTACACCCCTTCACCTCTTCCCCTCACCAGCCTACACCCCTTCACCTCTTCTCCTCACCAGCCTACACCCCTTCACCACACCAGCCTACACCCCTTCCCCCCTTCCCCTTCACCATCCTCCACCATCGCCGAAGTATCAATGGAGGCTGTTAAAGGTGAGTGTCTCTGTCATAGCTGGAGTAGGGGAGGGTCTGCGCTGAGGTCAGACACTCGAAACTAAGCTATGGGATTGCTGATGCTACACCGATCGTAAAACTCGTCTCTTCGATTTGATGCAGATTGGAGGTGAACGATGCACTGAAAACATCGTTATTTTCTTGAATAATAATTGTCGGGAATGTTTTAAAAACTCATATGTACGCAATGGATTTGTAATGGATATAAATGCATCTAAAAGCTGCAAAGTGCATTTGTATGCTGAAATCATATTGATGCGTTCGGTAGCGCCATCACTCGGCGGACGAACAACACCGATCAAAGCAGCGCTGGTACCCGATGTAGCTCATCATGATTATCTCCTGCTTCAAACGTATTTTATTTTGTTTATAAAAGTTACATTCTCATATTTGTTGTTTAATAATACTAGTTAAGACGTTGACTCAAATATATCGAAAGTGCTAAGGAAATGGGCAGTGCTTCAAATTCACGAACTAAAACACGTTCATTATCGCGTATCTTGAAGCATTCTAGGATAATCCCCTTTCTCTAATATTGTCTAGGATAAGCACCCTTCACTTAATACTGCCCGGAATAAGCACCCTTTACACAATATTAACCAGAATAAGCACTCTTCACTTATTATTGTCCAGAATTAGTGCCTCTCACTTAATATTGTCCAGGATAAGCACCCTTCACATAAAATTGTCCAGGATAAGCACCCTTCACATAAAATTGTCCAGGATAAGCGCCCTTCACTTGATATTGTCCAGGATAATCACCTTTCCAACAGTGGCGGCGCCCGACGCAAGCAACTATAGGGGAGGCGGTAATGACGGTAATCAGGCCGCGTAATGACGGTAATCGTGTCAAGAAGTCATCAGGAAATGATCATCAGCTTGTTCAACAGCGATTGCAAAGCATTTAATCAACTAACCAGGTTGATGATACTTTAGCTGCGAACGTTTTCCCAATTACTTTTTTAGCAAGTAAGATGCACTCAATGATTGTTATGAATTTTGATTGCAAACAACTTACGACACGCAAAAACTCATGTGAACAATTCTCATCTTCAAACTAATGCACAGGCTTCAGATCCATTCCTCTGTTATTTTACAAGTCGTTCTTGGCATTAAAGCTACCTACATATGTTGAATTTAGGATGATGTACAGATAGCATTTTACACAATAAACTAAAACTTAAATTTCAGTACCGAACGTACATTAGTTTTTGTAGGTTCATTAAGAGCTTCGGAAGGAAGCTGTGAAAATTAATACTGCACACTGAATGACACGGGCTTCTGTCAGGGTATTCAGCTTTTATTGATAACACAGTTGACTTAGGTAGCAATTCAATTCTAATTTAGAATTCACTAGCTTTTGCTTCTATTTCTTCATTGAATCCAATATAAATATTTGATAGAATACTAGAGTAATTTCAAGTCGGCTGGAATGTTATACTACGGACCATGATTACATGGGCATTGTTTTCAATGGGAAATTGCATAAATAAATTTAAATAATTTTAACAAACGCTTGAAGAATGACATTGAAAATTTACATCAAGCGATTAGCCACTAATCTGCCCATAAAACGCGAAACAGAAGTGTCACTGTTCACAGAGATTTATGGCATAAAATTTTCAATATAAAGTAAACAGAGATCCAAAAAATTCAACTATTTTTTTATTACAACGCTTACTGCAGCGCGGGGATAAGCGAGTTGTCGAGCGGCCACCTGAGCATCCATCATCTACATCCATCATCTGCATCCATCATCTACATCCATCATCTACATCCATCATCTGCATCCATCATCTACATCCATCATCTGCATCCATCATCTACATCCATCATCTACATCCATCATCTACATCCNCCTGTCTCTTATACACATCTTCATCGGAGTCACAATGGAGTGAGATATACTTCAATCGACATCAATACCCATAATGGCCCCATTTATGATCGAAAATAGGATATTCGCAACGAAAATCTGACAATCACTTTCACTTAATTAAACAGTTCAGTCTCACCGTAAATGGAAGATATAAAATCGATTTACGCACCAAAATATCTGTCTCTTATACACATCTAGATGTGTATAAGAGACAGCGATGGAGCTGGACTCCGAAACGTTTTCTCTTATAAAGATATGGTGAATTTTTGTGGTATTTTCTTTGCTTTTAAATTCCTGGTTAACTTGCGATTCAAGCAAACAAGTGATTTTAATACTTAAATCATAAACAATCTCAGTATAAAATTTTCACATGGTGTGCAATCTATTTCTCAATATCACTCCTGTTGCTAAGAATATAATACGGGAGAGTTTAACTTTTGGGCTATGCAGTGCAAAATATATCACACTGGGCTATGCAATGCTCTTCTCAGGTTTAAATAAGTCGGCCTTAATTAATGAGTGTTCGCGACGAGCCAAGCAGTCCACGCGCCATGTCAAGCAGTCCACGTGTCGCGTCAAGCAGTGCTCCATGCCGTGCCAAGCAGTACCCGTGTTGTGCTAAGCAGTCCACTTGACTTGCCAAACAGTATACGCATCGTGCCAAGCAGTCTATTTGACGACGTGCCAAACGGTTTACGTGCCGTGCCAAGCAGTACACGTATCGCGCTAAGCAGTCTACTTGACGTGCCCAACGGTCGACGTGCCGTGCCAAGCAGTACACGTATCGTGCTAAGCAGTCTACTTGACGTGCCAAACGGTCTACGTGCCGTGCCAAACAGTACGCGCATCGTGCTAAGCAGTCTACTTGACGTGCCAAACAGTCCCCATGCTGTGGCAAGAAGCACAGCACGTATCCTAAGCAGTCAACCCCCGCACCCTAATTAAGTCAGGCTGATTGTTTAACGACAGCCATGCCGCCTACTGTAAACAGCCAAGTTATTATGGAGCGCACGAGGCTCGGCAAATGAGCTACCGGAGACTTTAGTTGTTTTGTAAACATTACAGGAATGATAGGCTGGAGGCGACGTAAGCAATTTCAATGAAGTGTTTACCGGTATAAGGTGAAATGTACACGACTGAGAAGTAATCTCGACGATATTGCGACCGATCTTAAGTCATTGCAGTCAAAAGTTCTAAACTAATCGTACCGTACGAACCCAAGAGGCATGCAGTTGTTCCACATGCCGGAAACAAGACACATCACATATAAGGTAGGGCAGCTTCTACATCAATTTTATATTCTAGAATACACATTTTTCTAAGAAGATATAACCAAGAATAAGCATCCTAGATTGCCACAGAAATTAACCCTTATTATACTTAAAAATAAACAATACGAATGCAAAACAATTCAATGTAACAACAGTAATTAGCAGAAGATAAAAAAGATGAATATAAAAAGCTAAAAGAAGATTAATAAAACAATGATTAAGAAGGTAGCCCCGAATTTATGCATTATAACACGGGGAAACGAATATATAAAATTGTTCTTTTTGTAAAAAAGTGTGAAAAGTATCGAAAGATTCTGGGTATTGCAGTAGTTCCTCACGAAAATTGCACGTGGAAAATGAATATGCGTAGCGGCAGTAGGTCTCCGTGCATTTTTCGTTTTACAAGCATTGCGTTGGCACAAGGAGTTTCTCGAGCTCCGTATACCAGCACTGGCCGCGCAGACTTGATTGTTTGTGCCGCGTCGGTGTAAAGAACGTGGCTTTTGAAGTGTACGGAGCTCGAGCAGCAATCAAGAAAGGAGGATTAGACGCTTCACGCAAACACAAACATCGGCATTAACGAGTAGGAATGCTGACGAAAGCAGAGCACAAACGCAACCAGAATGTTCCCTTACCCCCTACATTTTAATTTCAATATCAATAAACTCAACCCTCTTACATCCCACGATGTCTTATACAATGTGCTCAAGCAGCGTCTTCCATTAAGGTGCGACTTGGCGTAGCCGTTGCCGAGTTATGATGGAAAAAGTAAAAAAGTACCCTCCATTCCGCGATTTTCAAATATAAGAGTATTAGTTGGCTTGATACCAATATCAATACGCGAAAGACGCGGGGTAAAACCCGGGGTGGCCCCCCATTTTTACTCTCCAACAGCAACAAGTGAAACTTACAAGCATGAATTCTTGTGAACACGACGCACAAACCCAGACAGTGGCACTAACAAACAGGAACTATTGTGAACACAACGCAGAAACACAAACAGCCTAAGCGAGCCGGAACTTCTCTGAACAACGAGCACAAACACAAGCAGCGGACCAAACAAACAGGAACTCAAGTGAACACGACGCATAAACACAAACTGCGGCCGTAGCAAGCAGAGAATAAGCTTGTGGACGGCAATTTGCAACCATGTCTTGAAATGAAGCTTCTTCTATATGCTTTACAACCTATGCTCATAAAAATTAACGTGTGACTTCAAGCTGCAACTTCAT